ACACAATTTACTAAGTTGACTTATTATTATTATCTTTATGAACTCTGAACTCCAATCCAGTCTTAACAAACACGTAATTAATAATTATCTAAACCCGGCAAACAAAAATCACTGACTGACATGCGTGCACTTGCATATCAAGGTCAAATTTGCATCTAAACAAAAGCACCAAGTTTTTGTAGTAAACAAACGCACGCTAAGATATAAGCCAAAATACATCACCTCACAGCCTAGTCACGCAAATATAGTCTTTAAGTACTGTGTCGTAAGACTATATTGATCGCACATATTCAATGGCAATAGATTTCCGTAAACAAGAAATCCAAATCGGACTTCCGAAATTCGCGGCATCTTTTTTACTCCGCTTTGTTACGATTGGTAAGAAAGAGACAAAGCGAATTTTACTGACGTTCGAAATTGTAAACAAATTCGCTTTCTCTCTTTCTAACCAATCGCTACAAAGCGGAGAAAAAAAGATAGCACGAATTTCGAATCCGATTTACATTTGGATACGTGATCGCTAGCGTTTTGGTTCGGTTAGATTTCTGAAATCGGATTTTCTAGTTGAGAAATCGTTCGGTATCGATTTGTGTTTGAAATCGGATTTTGGATTCGTTTTGATATATCGGACGCATGCCTAGCCACTTGCCGCTGTGTGGCGCTTCCGTCACTTGGCTTGTTGCTAGGCTAGGCCGCGTCGACGCATCATCCAATCCCGTTGCACCGTAGCGTGTAGTTCGGCCGGTATAATTGTCGTCCGCCTCGTGTTCCCGTACTCCCCGCTCCCACTTCCCCGCGACATTGACTAGATCAGATCTATATATGGTACTACTCGTCCAGTAATTCGTCCTTGAACTTCGTTTTCGGGTAGGTAGATAAAGTTACTTTTTTTTATATCAATTTTTAGGTTCAAAGCTAGCAAAGTTTTTTTGCTAAACATTTATTTTGGCGATTGTGAAAGCGGCTGTTGAATGGCGAAGCTCAAATTGCAAATACTTACCTCGAAGCTTGCTTTGGCTTTATAATATTATGATTAATAAAATTTAGTAATTTGTGTTTTTATGTTTTTGATGTGTAATAATATTTGATTTGATTTTATAAGATATTGTTCAAATGGCTCGTTTTTTTTAATAATTGCCTATTTTAGAAGCGAAAATCCATGTACGCGCCATCTAGCCAGTACCTCTGGAAGTAATTGCGCCCACGCAAGCGCATAAATGTTTTTCTGCTGCTTTTGGAAGGTTGCTCTAAGTAAACATAGTACTCATAACATCCGCAAGATGGTACTGTGTCTATTTACTTTATTTCATTTAATGTTCTTCAGGTTTATGCTGCTCCGACCAGTAGTCCTACCTACCGCGAGATATGAAGATGCAGAAGTGGTGATTTTAGAACATAATGTTCAAATGGCTCGGTTTTTTTAATAATTGCCTGTTGTGGAAGCGGAAAATCCATGTTAGCGCCATCTAGCCAGTACCTCTGGAAGTAATTGCGCCCACGCAAGCGCACGCATGCTTTTCTGCTGCTTTTGGAAGGTTGCTCTAAGTAAACATAGTTCTCGTAACATCCGCAAGATGGTACTGTGTTTATTTATTTTATTTCATTTATTGTTTTTCAGGTTTATGCTGCTCCGACGAGAAGTCCGACCTACCGCGAAACATGGAGATGCAGAAGTGGAGTGAAGTGAAGCTATTACACATAAAACCTACCTCAATTTGTTGAATCCACCACCGTTTAATTTAAAAACAGATTTTAAATTCATTAAGTTTCTTTTCGATAACAGTTTTTATTTTCAAAGCTAGTAAAGTTTTAATGCTTAACAGGCCTAAGATTTATTTTACCTCAATTTGTGGAGTCCAACGACCCGTTTACTTTAAAAATTATTTTAAATTCACTAAGTGTCATTAGATGGCGCTTTTACATATTTTAGTAGTGCTAAAAATTGACCCTTGGTGGCGCCGCATTATATTTTAACCAGTGAAATAATGTAACCGTTTTTATTTGCTATATTTATTTGCTAGACCCGGTGTGGGTCTCAGCAGTAAGTTGAGTTCATACATCATCAGTACATCGTCAGTATCCTGACGATGCAGACCTGAAAAGGCTGCGAAACGTCAATAAATAATCTCTTATCTATTAGACAAGTCCGTCCGTCCGTCAAATAAATAAAGTTTCGTGCATTAACCCATTAAAACTAGTTTTATTTAATGAGTGATGTGCGTGAAAACCTAAGAAACAAATATATGCTATAATTATGTATGAGCTATATTATTGGTTAGTTTGATTAAAATGCATTGGTAACTTTTTAACCCGACTGCGCAATGCAAGAGCTCGAAGCGCGACGCGCAGACAGGGTATATCTTATCTATAAGACAAGTCCGTCTGTCTATGGTGCTGTTTCAGCGGCCAAACCGTAAGAGATACATAAAGAGAATATTAAGTTATAAGTTAAGAATAGTCTGATAAGACTACAAACCGGATTTGAGTAACGTAGCACTTCCGGTTTTCGAGAAATCACGAATTTCAAACGAAACCACACAAAATCTCCGAAGTTCTCAATTAATTAAATACATTTTTTTTTCTTTTTTTTTTAAATCAGGTTTTGGTGAACATTTGGTTCACTGGTTTGCTAGTAATAATAATAATATATTTTCCTTTACAATAGCCTTCTTAATAATATATCGATTGGAGTCTCCATTTAAGCAAATATTGCCTGTGTTTGGAGGCTCTGCTCTTCCTTAACTAATAATGTGATTAACAAACTCCAGTATGGTCACAGTGAATGAACAAATGAACATGCAAAAAACAAAAAGAAAGAATGAACGAAAATAAAATAAAACAAAACAATAAACAGACGATCTACGCTGAAAATAATTTTAAATCCCATTAATAGGACTTAAAGCTAAGCAAAAGTATTTGCAATTAAGAAAGGTAATGCAGATGTTGTGTGCCATGTGTGCGTGTGTGTTTGTGTCTTTATGTGTGTATGTGTGTGTGTGATTAATTTTATACATTGTTTTATGTCATTTATGTAATACGATACAGTAGAGATTCAGTTTCTTCATACGTTCGAGGCTGAATCCATTTAATTAAAAGGCTCTTACACTCGTGATGATTTTTGTCATATATGTTTATTTCTTTATTTATTTTATTATATAAGACTAGCTGACCCAGCGAACTTCGTACCGCCCTAAAAAAATAGGGGTTGTCCAGCGGACAAAATTGTGAATCTAAACCATTCTCAGATCCCCTTGAACACACACAAAAAATTTCATCAAAATCGGTCCAGTCGTTTAAGAGAAGTTCAGTGACATACACACTCACAGAAGAATTATATATATAAAGATAGCCGAACGCGAGTTAAATTGTCTACTAGCAAATGCAGTTTTAGTGACAGTCGACTTGACGATTATGTTTTTTCGCCTTTTTTCCAAGAGATGAGGGTCATAGGGTATGGATTTGTGAATTTTGAGAATGGTCGTGATTATATATAATTTCCTCACAGAGAGTAGGTCACTAATTCGGTACAAATCATTAGTAGGGAAATGTCGCTTCTTGAAGTACATGACCTTTATAAGGGTTCTTTGTGCTCTTTCTAAATCAAGAAACTGGGTCTTCGCAGCGCCACCCCAAACTGGAACACAGTAAGTGATAATGGGTTGGGCCAGGGCTATGTATATTTGATTAAGGAGATTTTTAGAAGAGCCCTTTTCTTCAGTGACGGCTGGCATAACGTGCCTGAGGGTTTTGAAAATCCAGATAAGTTTCCTAATTCTAATACTAACATGGCTTAGATGTGGGTACCATGATAGTCTTTGGTCCACAATGACACTTAAATATGAAAAACTAAAATTGCTTGTGAAACTTTTTCAATTATCGGACAGTTACAAAAGTTTTGATTCTCATTCTCCAGGCATTCATGAATTTTCAGGCTAAAGTCACTACGCGGCTGCGAATTATTGTAAATGCTGAAACAAATATAATTTGTTTTGGCAGTATTTAATGAAAGGAGGTTTTGTTGCAACCACACAACCAGCAACCTGCGCGAGACCGACTTCAGCATCCGTCCTGACTGCATCCCAAGATTCTCCAGCAAAGATGACGGCGGTGTCATCGGCATACGACAGGATTTTGGCATTTGCTATATTCATGCTACAAAGGTCGTTTATGTAGATGAGAAATAGAGTGGATCCCAAAACGCTACCCTGCGGTACGCCACACGTCACCCCAGCATCCTCACTATTGCACCCAGGAAGTTTTACTTTTTGTTTTCTCTCTGTCAGATAACTGTTAAAGAGAGCAAGTGGGGTCCCTCTTATTCCTATATGTTCTAGCTTTTGTACAAGGATAGGGATGGAGACGGTCTCAAATGCTTTTCTCAGGTCAAGGAAAACGGGCAAACATTTTTTATTTTGGTCCAGTTGCCGAGTTACAAAAGAACTTAGTTCAGCAATAGCATCTTCTGTCGATTTTCCTTGTCTGAAACCAAACTGCGCAGGTGATAGTACTTCAGTTTTATTGAGGTATTTTAGTAATCTAGTATTTAATAACTTCTCCAAAATTTTAGATGTTGCTGGCAGAACCGAAATCGGCCTATAGTTACTGATGTCTTCTCCATTTCCACCCTTGTACACAGGTGTAATAATTGATCTCTTTAGCGGTATGGGAAATATGCCTTTATCAAAACTTAAATTAACTATGTGAGTGATAATAGGGGCCACATCATCAACTGCCAATTTCAAAAACTGGTTTGGGATATTATCCCAACCTGGGGCGCTATTTGATTTTAGGTTAATAATAATATTCTTAACTTCATCCTCATCCGTATGAAGCAAAACAAAAGAGTTTGATGGCGCTGGTTTGCTTCCTAAAAGAGTTCTTTGTGTATTTTTGTTGTGTTGAATTTTGTTTGCAAGTTGTGTTCCTATGTTCACGAAATATCTATACTTATAATAAATCTGTAGAGAAGTCAATTCTGTACATTAAATATATTTAAAAATTTAAATATATTTAAAAAATTACTAGCAAAGGGTGATAAGGGATCGTTAGTGATCCCAAAAATGCAATCAGTAAAATTTTTGTCTGTCTGTCTGTCTGTCTGTATGTTCAGGCATCACGTAAAAACTAACGGTTCGATTTCGATGAAACTTGGTATAATTATACCTTATTATCCTGGGCATAAAATAGGATACTTTTTATCCTGGAAAAATACGTAGAAAAAAAAAATCTTAATTTTTCAGTTTGATTCATTGACGTTATTCTGTAGAACCGCGAACACACAGTGGATTCAGCGCCGTAGCCTGTAGCGCCGAAAGTCGGATTTGGCTTGAACCGTTTGCGACACAAGCGGGCTGCACGACGTCCCGCCTCCCCGACTCCTATATAAGGACGGCGTTCCGCGCCGCGCGATGCATATAAATTCTGAATTTTGATGCGTGCGGACGTGTTTAGTGTGGAATTAATATTGTACGCGTGTAATTTTAAACCGTGCTTTTTGATTACTGGATTTGATGTCAATTCTAAGACTGTTCCGATCAGTTATTTGTAAATATAGTACGTACGTAGTTTAAGTCTTCATCGTGAATTGGTTTATTTAGGTTGGTATTTTATTTTCTTTTTGTTTATCTTTGGAAACATAGGTATAGTAATTAGGTTATAAGGTAAAGTAGGTTAGTTATTTAACTCATATTTCTCTCTCTCATCTCATTTCATTGTATTTCTGTTTATTTTTAATACAGTTTTATTGTAACACGATGCCTGCCAGAAAGCGATCTTCTCTTACTAAAACATCGAAACATGCTAAGCGAATGAGACTAGCTAGATCACAAGAATCAACCGAAGAGCGAGAATCCCGGTTAAACCGCATGCGAGACATAGCGGCTGAAGCAAGAGCACGTGAAAGCAGTGCCGATCGCGAATTGAGATTAAGTGCTGATCGTCAACGTCACTCACTATCTCGCTCCTCTGAAACATTTACTGAAAGGGATATACGCCTCACTACCGACCGTGAACGTCACGTATTGTCTCGGGAGTCTGAGACGTACCCGCAATATCAAGATCGTTTAACGGCTGACCGTGAACGTCACGCGCTGTCACGGGAGTCTGAGACTTACACCCAGTATCAAGATCGTTTGACGGCTGACCGCGAACGTCACGCGCTGTCACGGGAGTCTGAGACTTACACCCAGTATCAAGGTCGTTTGACGGCTGACCGTGAACGTCACGCTTTGAGTCGATCTCTTGAAAGTGACGAAAACCGTTTGCGTCGTTTAGAGGCAGCTCGCGAAAACTACGATTTAAGAGTTCAAAATAATATAGATAATTTATCAAACGAAAGACAAAGAATAAATGATATTCGGTCATTAGAAACAAATGAGCAATGTGAAGTTCGACTCAGTGGAGATAGATTTCGTCATAATATTGATAGAGTTTTATGTTCATCAGATCATGACGAAGCAGAATCTTTAGATTTGTTGCCATGGATAAATAGAAGCAAAAGTGGATTTGCTTATTACGTTAGAATGAATTATGAATCTTTTGCAGAGATAGGTGAGATGAATATAGTTTGTTCTCATTGTAATTCCTTGAAATGGAGACATGAGTCCGCTGGATTTTGTTGTTCTGGTGGAAAAGTGAATTTACCGCTATTTGAAGATCCACCGGAGCCTTTGAAATCATTGCTCTTAGGAGAACATACCCATTCCAAACATTTTTTGGATAATATTCGGGCTTTTAATAATGCATTTCAAATGACTTCTTTTGGCGCTCAACAAATATCCGAAGGCCCATTCATGCCTACATTCAAAATTCAAGGCCAAGTCTACCATCTAATTGGATCACTGTTGCCAGAAAATCAACCGAAATTCTTACAAATTTACTTTATATCTGATTATAACGAACAGTTAGCTGTACGAAATACAAATTTACCACATCTTAATGCAGAATTAATTTTGGCACTTCAGCATATGTTACATCAGGTCAATACGTATGTGCATAGTTTTAAGTCAGCATTGGAATCTATTCCTCAAGGGCAATGTGACAATTATAATGTTGTAATCAATGCCGATAGACGTCCAAGTCAAGAACACCCCAGGCGCTACAATGCACCTACGACTAATGAAGTCGCAGTAGTATTAGTCGACCAAGAATGTGATAGACGAGATATCGTGATTCGTACTAGAGACAACCGTCTGCAGCGTATTTATGAAACTCACAGAGCATATGATAGTTTGCAGTACCCCTTAATTTACTGTCGAGGAGAGGATGGCTATAATTTTGCAGTGTACCAAACTAACCCGGTTACAGGTACCTTAAATTACAGAAAAAAAGTTTCTTCTCTTCAATTTTATTGCTATCATTTGCAGATTAGACGTGATCAACTATTGTATTTGCAACGTTTCCGAGGTTTGTTTAATCAATTCATAGTTGATATGTATGCTAAAATTGAAACTGAACGACTGGTATATATACGTACAAATCAAAGACAGTTGAGAGTTGATGAATATGTACATCTACGCGACGCTATGCAACAGGATGACAATCCCGATAATTTGGGCCGTTTGGTTATCTTACCATCTTCTTTTACCGGCGGCCCGCGGTACATGCATGAGCGAACGCAAGATGCTTTTTGTTATGTAAGGAAATATGGTCGACCAGACTTATTCATTACATTTACTACTAATCCTAAATGGGAGGATATAACGAACAATTTACTTGAAGGACAAGCTTCTTACGACCGACACGATATAATTTCGAGAGTTTTTCATTTAAAGCTGAAATTAATGATTAAGTTATTAACTAAAGAAAAAGTTTTTGGTGATTATTTATCTTATATGTACAGTGTCGAGTGGCAAAAACGAGGGCTACCACACGCTCATATTTTAATTTGGTTGAAAGACAAAATTCGGCCTCATGATGTAGATCATGTAATTAGTGCCGAATTTCCTGACCCAAATGTAGATCCTGTATTATATGAAATCGTTAAAACTCATATGGTTCATGGACCCTGTGGCGCACTACATTCTCACTCTCCTTGCATGCAAAACGGTCGCTGTACTAAACGATATCCAAAATCGTTAGTGGACCAAACTATAACAGGTCATGACGGATATCCTTTATATCGGCGCCGTTCGCCAAGTAGTGGTGGATTTACAGCTGAAAAAAGAGTTCTTGGCCAACAAATCACTTTAGATAACAGGTGGGTCGTGCCATATTCTCCAGTATTATCTAGAGCTTTCGGAGCACATATAAATATTGAAATGTGCAATAGTATTGAATCTATTAAGTATATATGTAAATATATTAACAAAGGTAGTGACCAAGCATCATTTGCACTAAGAAATAACGAACACGATGAGGTAGCTAAATATCAATCGGGACGGTACATTAGTTCGTCAGAAGCAGTGTGGCGAATCTTAAGTTTTCCCATACACGAGCGACATCCACCTGTAATGCATCTCGATATTCACGCAGAGGGAAGTCAAAGTATATATTTCAACCCAGAAAATGTAGCCGAGCGTTTAGTAAATCCAAGACGCACAACTCTTATAGCATTTTTTGAATTGTGTGGCACTGATAGCTTTGCCAAAACTTTACTCTATGATGAGATTCCCGCATATTACACATACGATAAACAACGTGGAGTATTTAACCGTCGTCGACGAGGCTCCCCAGTAGATGGCGCACCTGGAGTTTACAAGGAACATGTAATAGGAAGAGTTTACAGTGTACATCCTAACAATTTTGAATGTTTTTATTTGCGCCTATTATTACATACAGTGCGTGGACCAACATCATTTACTGACTTACGAAAAGTTGACGATATTTTATATCCTTCTTACCAAGCAGCTTGCCAAGCTCGACACTTACTCGAAAATGATCAGCATTGGGACGATGCTTTAGCAGAATCATGCGTCAGTAATAATCCAAGTCGTTTGCGAAATCTATTTGTTGTTTTGTTGACTTTTTGTGCTTTGTCTGACGCTGCGCAGTTATGGGAAAAATATAAGAAGCAACTCTCTGAGGACTTTTTCAGGAACATCTCACGTGATCAAGATACTGAAATAAATGACAATTGCCATGATTTAGCTATAAATCAGTGTTTGTTAGCTATTCAAAATGAATTAATAGCTGTCGGAGGTAAAACTCTATCAGAATATGGTTTGCCTACTCCTACTATAGCTAACGAACGAATTAACAGGGAATACGCTGCAGAACTTAATTATAATGCTGCAGAACTATTGGAAACTTTAGAAAACGGAGTACCAAGTATGACACCGGAACAAAAACAGGTATTTGACCGTGTCTGCCATAGTGTAAGCAATACTTTGGGACAAATTTTATTTCTCGATGCACCTGGTGGAACTGGGAAGACGTTTCTCACTAAATTAATATTAGCCCACTTAAGGAATCAAAACAAAATTGCACTTGCAGTTGCTTCCTCGGGTATAGCAGCGACTTTGTTACCAGGAGGCAAAACAGCGCATACGATGTTCAAAATACCAATAGACCTTGACCGCACGGAAAATCCAGTATGCGGTATTACTAGAAACTGTGACAAAGCGCAGGTTATCCGGGAGTGTAGTTTAATCATCTGGGACGAGTGCACTATGGCTCACAAAAAAGCCATAGAGGCAGTGGACAGGACTCTGAGGGACATCAGGCACATAGACCAACCCATGGGTGGTATAACTGTTCTTTTTTGTGGCGACTTCAGACAAATTCTACCGGTGATACCACGAGGAACACGAGCTGATGAAGTCAGAGCTTGCCTTAAAAGGTCGAGTCTATGGCAACATATTATATCCATGCATTTAACAACAAATATGCGGGTGAGACTCGGAGATGACCCACATGCACAACAATTTTCAAATTTATTATTAAAAATAGGCGAGGGAAGTTATCCAAATGATGAAGGAAAAGTAGCTTTAAATGATGAGTTGTGTTGTACTGTTTCGTCCCTGCAAGAGCTAATATTTGCGGTTTACGGAGACTTAAGCAGCGTTACGCATCAGCACAATACTTGGTTATGCAAAAGGTCCATTCTTACTCCTCGGAATGACCAAGCATCTATAATAAATAATGAAATATTGTCACATATTCAAGGAGAAAGTCGAGAGTATATCTCTATTAATAGAATGATGGATCAAGAAGAGTCCACTAATTACCCCATAGAATTTTTAAATTCGTTAAATGTTTCTGGACTTCCTTCACATATAATTAAGTTAAAAATCGGCGTTCCTATTATTCTTCTTCGTAATTTAAGTCCTCCGAAGCTTTGTAACGGCACTCGATTGAAGGTGGTTAATTTACAACCTAACGTAATTGAAGCTGAAATTTTAACCGGTTGTGGTGCCGGGGAAAGTGTTTTAATCCCTCGAATACCATTGATTCCCAACAATTTTCCATTTCAATTTAAGAGAATACAGTTTCCTGTAGCTTTGTGTTACGCCATGACAATAAATAAGGCTCAAGGTCAGACCCTAGGAGTTGCTGGCGTAGATCTTACCGCGAGTTGTTTTTCACACGGGCAACTTTACGTAGCTCTTTCCCGTGTAAGCAGTCCAAGAAATCTTCATGTTCATATTCCGGACGAGCTCACTAACAATGTTGTGTATGCTGAAGCTCTCAATTAACTTTCTGTCGCATTGTCACAATCACTTTTTAATTATTGCAAACTTTTCGTCACTGTCAATAATTTACTGCTTCATGCTACTTATAAAGGTCGGAATTACTATGAAAAAAATACTTACTACAGAACGCAAGCTCAACAGCAGTAGCTCAATAGAGGGATCTCCTTAATTAAGTATTATAGGCCTAGCCGTATGTGGGTCCAATAGATATTTATTTGATGTCATTGTCAGAGTTACTCAAAATGGACAAATAAACCATCCACGCGAAGACCGACATCCGCGCGGACGGAGTCGCGGGCACAGCTAGTTTATTAATAAAGTTAGCGGAGTTATTAGGCGAAGACTTTAAGTTGACTAGTTTAGAGTTAATATTATGTCATTTTTTAGAATATGTTATGTTTTTAATATTTTTCCATAGTAGTTTATTGTTATTTAGAGATTTAACAATATTGTCTCTATCATATTATCTTTTAATTCTTTTTATTAAGTTATTGCAGTAATTCCTGTATCGCCGATATGTAATACGAAGAATCTCGTTGTGCGGGTCATTTCGAAGATTTTTTTGGAGTTAATTTCGGTTCCTTATACAACGTAAGATTCCTGCGGAGATCCACGGCTGCATAATTCTCCTACTACACGACACAGGAGTCACCACAGTGTCCAATTTTAGACTTTCGATCATTTTATCTATTAAGTAGTTAGTCACAGCAGTTGGGTCATCACAGAACGATAAATCAGTTAATTTTTTATTCTGTAGATATTGTAATGCACTTTCAAAGTTAATGGTGGATTTAGTTTTATTGACATTTGGTTGATTTTTTAATTTCGAAATTGATAGAAATGTAGTAAAATGATCCGTAACAGTAGTATGCATAATAGCTATCGATGCTTTGTATTTGATTTTATTTATTTTTAGCATAAAATGATCTAGACAGTTTTGCAGTCTTGTAGGTAAAGTATGTCCAGCTAATATGCCGTAGTTAGCAAGCATATCTAAGTACTGCGACCTATTTTTATGTTCGTGCGATGATTTCAATGTTTTTTTTAGAATGTTTATATTAATATCTCCTGTCACTATGATGTTACTATTCGAAGGGAGACCCTCAAGATGAGAGCTTAATGAGTTAATGAAGGTTTCTGCATTTGAGTTCGACGGTGACCGGTAAATAGACAGAATAATGTGATTGCAGGCATGATGCGTGCTGCAGTTTTATTTCTTTGACCTTATGTTTTATGGATTTTTTAATATACACAGCTACACCGTCACTTTGGTTAAGTTGACTAGTGGTACTGTATGAATCGTAATTATTTAACTGTGGTAGAGGTTTTTTTTTTCTTTTTCATAATTTTTTTATTCGATTATTTACAATATGTCTTTTTAATTATGTTATTTTTAATCAAATTTCAACATGTTTAATAATATACTGTCCGTGCTCGAGGCTGCTATTTGATACAGCCAGGGGCACGGGCCAGAAGTCTGAAAGAGGAAGCATAGAAGGATAGTAAAGATAAAAGTAGGTATACAAGAAAATAGGGAGGTCAAAAACAAAGTAAAGAAAAGTTGAATCACATTAGTGGCGTTAAAGACTACTCGTTTGCTTCGAGTTGGCCGACGATAGCCAATCACAGGCACATCAACTGGTACCATCGTCCAATAAGGTCGACTAATAGGGACTGTCTAAGGCGCGGTATTCTGAAGCTGGGAGGGTGGAAGCAGCCAATTCGAAGCGAACGCGTAGTGCTTTGGTTATCAAAAGTATGCGTTATTAATAGAATACAGGGTTCACTCAACACATTCAAGCAAACTCATGCACACATACAGAGAGAGATACACACACACACGCAATCATACTCAAATGAGTCCTAAGGTAATTATTATATACACTTTTAAACTATTGTATAATATAACGTAATTATAACATACACAGAAAAAAAAAACTAAGAGCGTGCGCTTCGTTAAGCGGGACACAGAGCGGGCACCCGCTCGGCGCGCTTGCTTCATGCCATTTCATAGAGCAGCACCAGCGCTCCGAGAAATGACACAAAAAAAAACTGCACGGCGAGCGGACTCGCGCCCGACCGACGTCCCGCCTAAGGCAGCGCAGGCTTTAACAGTGCAATATTGTAATGTACATTATATTGTGATGCTAAATGCATAATTAAACTTGTAAGTATTTATCTTAGTGGGTAAAAGTCATGACACACCAAAGGACGGTGGGGGAACAAAAAAAAAAAAAATAGGCCCCGATTTAAGTACATATCTGTGTTGGATCGCATCTCCGGCGGCCGCGGAAAGGACGCCTTTGAACAGGCCTCGTTAGAAGCCTTAGCAAAAATTCTAATGTTGCTTCACTAACTCTGAGTATGTCTAATATATGGATATGTATTCATGATTTGGATAAACCGAGAAGAAATCTAGAAGCCTCAACAGGTATATCGTGCCGTAAACGAAGATTTCTGGTTAAAGCTCAAAAAAAAAACTTACAATATACGAACTCAGTGGGAGGAAGAGGATAAAGAAGAGTTATTGAAAGATTTCAGTTTTGAGAAGATAGTTTCAACGAGTGCGACAAAAGATTTGAGCAGTTTTGGTTTCGATATAAGATCAGGAATATGAAACGGGTTAATGTTGCTGTTTGAGCATATGGCAGTATGTCTAAGTCTATTAATAGTAAATCTTGGACAATCAGTCAAAAGATGAAGAGGATCTTGTGGCGTCTGAGTGTCACATGGACATCCGCTAGATGCAGCAATGTGAAAGCGGTATAAATAAGAAAGGTGGGCACCATGTCCTGTTAAAAATTGACTAAGAAAGAATGAAGAGGAAGAGATGATTAAGAAAAAATTGTGAATCATTGTTATAGAGGGGAATAAATCTCGAGTGTGGGAGCCTTGAGCAACCTCTTGGTATCGTTTCTCCCACTCTTTGCGAATGCGAATCCTAGAAAGGCGCTTTACATATGATAATGGGAATCGGTCGTAATCAGGAGCCCTTCTCAAACCTGCAGCGCGACCGGCCTCAACATCCGCAGCCTCGTTACCTGCAATCCCTACATGCCCCCTAACCCAACAAAAACGAATATTTCCAAAAGAGTGGTGTTCGTGAATAAGTTTGTGGGTAAGTGACACGAGAGGAGTGGCGTTGTTGCGCTGACTGAGTGCGTCCAGAGACGATAATGAGTCAGTGAGAACAAGGGTATCCTCGTATTTCCTCTTCACAGCGAGGCAGCAGGCTTTGTAGATGGCATAAAGTTCAGCCTGGAACACAGTGCAAGCTTTATGTAATTTAAATCTTTTACAAGTAACGGGAGAGGGTGAAATTTGGGTTTAACCTGCATTCCGTAAAGGTAATCATATCTATTTCAAATGATAAAGAAGATAGTAGAACAATGAAGTCGTCGAAATTTCGATAGATACTAACGATATTCTGTGATATTAATGTGAAATCATTTTTATTGACATTTATTTATAAACCTCTCAAGGTCGGTTTCGTCGCATTCAACTGCATTACTTAGCTATTTCAATGTTGTTGTAAGGATTGTTTGACGAGTGTTTTTAATAGCAAAAGTATATTCTAGGTGTAGTAGGTGTTTTATAATATATATATGATTGTTTGTGTGCGTGTGTATGAAAGTGAGTGATGTGTTTGGTATGTTTTTTTCGTAGCAGTAGTATTGTATAGTGTAATTGTATAATTTACGGTGTTACCTTTCTTAATTCTAGGTTTATGGCATGAGTTAAGCTTATAAACTATAAATAAGTTATCTCCAGAGCACGGGCTTAACTCAACATATGTTAGGTATAGTACTGAATATAGTCAGTCTTGTTGCAAAAGTAGCTTGTGTACCTGTTGTTCAGTTTTTATCATAATGATCGGCGACTGCTCACTTCTTCTTATATAAATTTTACCATAGGAAGTCCACACAAATTTGTATCCTTTGGACTTGGCCAAGTCACGAGCCAAAAAGTGAAGGCGTGAAGCTTTTGGCGTTAAATTCTCAGAGACAAAAATCGGTGTATCTTCTTGCGTCTTCAGCCCTAAATGCTTTGCACATAATTTGGTTTTATTCCTTATATTGAAGATTTTAGCCATTTTCAGGAGATCGGTTTTCAACAAGACCGAACCAGTTTCTACTACAATCGGAGTATTTTTCTGCTCCGGATTCTTACCCCTAACTCTATAAATGTCCTTAATATCTGATTTACTGATTTTGCAGTTTACAGACTCCGACAGCGTAACTACCATTTCAATTAAATCTTGTTTTGTCTCAGACTCTTGTCTAGGTACTCCCTTGATCTCAAAATTAGTCTTACTAAAATCAAAATCAAAAAGTTCGTAAATCGTCAAGTTTATCTTCCAAAAATATCAAGCATTCCCTGTCTTCCCTACAAAATTCTTCCAGTTTATTAATTTTCTGCTTTAGTTCTTCGTTCTGTGCAGTTACATACGTCAGAGACAACTCTATGTTTTTATTTGTGTCTTGTATTTCTTTCATTGTTGAGTTAAGTTGAGTCAACTCCTCCCTCTGCGAAGTTATGAAGGTAGATATAAGTTGCCTCATCTCCATTTTAAAAGCGTTCCATTGTGACGGCGATCCCTGTACAAGTCAATCAATCAATACTTTATTGCGTTCTACAATGTTTTCTTAGATCTTAGTAGGTACATTGCTTTGATCATTGTAGACCCTGAACAGGGCACAGCAAATAGAGTATACAATTTACCAGCCAAATACGATATTTTTTTACCCAACAAATAAAAATATATTAATATCAACATTATTTATTCATTTTAGCTTAATATTATATTATTTGAATTATTATCTATGTCATATTCTATAGTATATTATGTTATTTTTATATATTCAATTTTATTATATACAAATTAAATTAAATTAAATAAAATGTCAGGTATAGTAAAAAATTAAATTGTAGATATCATTACTTTAAATTATTATCTTCTAAAAATTCCTTAACCGTGTAATATATTTTTTTTATTTATTTTTTATTTATAGGTTGCATACGAGCAGACGGCTCACCTGATGGTAAGTGATCACCGTAAATCACATTTGCTTAATAGTAGCTTTTTTAATTTTTCCAATGAATATATATATTATCAACCTTTTCCTCAACTAACGTTTTAGCTAATCTTTATATATATAATTCTTCTGTGAGTGTGTATGTCACTGAACTTCTATTAAACGACTGGACCGATTTTGATGAATTTTTTTGTGTGTGTTCAAGGGGATCTGAGAATGGTTTAGATTCACAATTTTGACCGCTGGACAACCCCTATTTTTTTAGGGCGGTAC